GATGCTTCCTGTAATCCTAACCTTACAATCCCTACACTAGTCATTCCTGCACCCTCATACTAACTATCCCTGTTACCCCAACACTAACCCTAATGTTAAAGCCTAACTCCAGCCTTACCTTCAGTTTTCCAAACTTATACAGGCTCCCCTCCTCTACAGAAAGTGTTTACTCTTATTTCAAATCACACTGTGAGCTTCCCACAGTGTGGATTAGAAACTGCAGCAAGTCACATAGATCCCACCTCATTTACTGGCTGGAGAACGTCCAGCTTTTTCTATCCCTTTCCTCAGCCTTGCTGCTCCTGACCTGCCCCTTCCATTCATCGGATTTCAGTTCCTTCAGTCATAAAGACTCAGCATTACATGTGGGCGATATTTAAGGTGATCGGCATGTAGGTGGAACCTGGGCACCCAATAATGGAGAGACAAGACACACACACAGTTCTTGATGTTATAATTAACTTATACATTTGCTGGCCACTTTGTTAGGTACACCTGATCAATTGATTGGTAACACAAATTACTAATCAGACAATCACTTGGCAGCAACTCAATGCATTTAGGCATCTAGACATGGTGATGAAGACTAGCTGAAGTTCCAACCGAGCATCAGAATGTGGAACAAAGGGGATTTAAGTGACTTTGAAAATGGCATGATTGCTGGCGCCAGGCTGGTTTGAGTATTTAAAAAACTGCTGATCTACTGAGATTTTGATGCACAAACATCTCTAGAGTTTACAGAGAATGGTCAGAAAAAGAGAAAATATCCAGTTGTGTGGACAAAAAACATCTTGTTGATGTCAGAGGAGAATGGACAGACTGGTTTGAGATGATAGAAATGCAACAGTAACTCATGTCTACCCCCTAACCTCTCCATCACAACCAACAACACCACCATCAGTCCCACCCCGCAAGCCAAAGTTCTAGGTGTCACTCTAGACTCCAATCTGTCCTTCCAGCCCCATGTCCAATCGCTGGCAAATTCATGCAGGCTCCACCTCCGCAATATCTCCAAAATACGTTCGTTCCTAACCCCAGAGACTACTAAGCAACTCGTTCACTCCTTTATTATCTTACGACTTGACTACTGTAACTCCCTCCTCACCGGCTTACCTCGTCACAGGCTATCCCCGCTTCTGTCTATCCTGAACTCTGCGGCCAGACTCATCCACCTTACCAACCGCTCCGTATCCGCCACCCCCCTCTGCCAATCCCTCCACTGGCTTCTGATTGCCCAACACATAAAATTCAAATTGCTAACATTGACGTACAAAGCTATCCATAATACTGCCCCAAACTACATCACCGACCTGATACCCAAATACCACCCTACCCGTACTCTTCGCACCTCACAAGACCTCCTACTCTCTAGCTCCCTGGTCTCCTCCTCCCATGCCCGGCTCCAGAACTTCTCCAGGGCTTCCCCCATCCTCTGGAACTCCCTACCCCAATCCATCAGACTGTCACCTACCCTCCTCACCTTTAGAAACAACCTTAAAAACCCATCTCTTCAGGGAATCCTACCCCGCCCTCACCTAACTGCCGATCTCCTCCACTCCTCCTACCACTCCATCCCCCACAGCCACTTCCTCCTGTACCACTATTTCCTCCCTCCTAGATTGTAAGATCCAAGGAGCAGGGCCCTCGAACTCCTTGTGTATTGTATTTTTATTGTACTGTCTCATGTATTGTCTCCGATTGCAATGTACAGCACTGAGCAAACTTTTGGCGCTTTATAAATACTGTATAATAATAAATCATAATAATAATGTCAATATGGACCAACATCTTTGGATCTATGCCACGAAGAATTAAGGCAGACAAAAGGGGGTCTAACCTAGTACTAGAAAGGTGTACCTAATAAAGTACCTATTAGAGTATATTGCACTGTTACCAGGCTTGGGCCTACTGCTTTCGTTGGAAGGGTGGCGGTTGGTAGTGTACCTAGCTAGGACTGTAATGCTGGTAGGATGAGCTCCACATTTCTGTTCCGGATGCCAGATGTTTCCACAAGGCTGGCGTTGTCCCTGTCCTTACCCTTCTCACCTGGAAGATTTCCCTACACTATACACTTTCCCTAAAAAGCAAGCGCTCTGTCCCTGACCTACCACTCACTCCAGGCATGCCCAAATGAGCAGGTTCCCTAATATATAGTCCCACACCAAGATGGTCACTAAGATATGAGTACACAACATCCAATCAGACAGGTGACCTCTCTGAGAGACTCAAAGAGTCCATAAGGGGACAATTCTCCTAGCAGTCTCCACTCCATCTGTATAATGACAAGTGCCATCTACAGGATGGAGGTGAAACTTGCACCTGCCCGCATGCATGCAAATGCAGTCTGCCATAGAGCGCCCACTGCTCCAAACTGACATTCCACTTATTAAGGCATTTCCAAGTGCCAACTCCCTGCTTGATTCAGAGCATGGGAATTCTTAAGAGGGATACTAAGGCATGCTGTCCTGATGTTTTCAGGAATCATTATACAGCACCCTGCTGGCTCCTCCCACCAGCAACAATCTGCCTGCATTTTATAGAGAAGCACAGAGACTCCATGGTGATGTAACTGGGAGTAAAATAATGATCCCTTCAGTATATTTAACCCCTTGTTTGTATGCTCATTCTGTCAATAATGAATATTTACTGTGCTACTACTGCCTATGTCCTGAAACCTGTTGCTTTGGTCTTGGCAAAGCCAAAAATATCTTCAACTCCTTACCCCCTCTGTCCTGAGACTGTTCTGTAATGTACATGCTCTAACATAAAGAAAACCAAAAAAGAAAATAATTATGGACCAGGGAACCCTTTTAAATAAGTTAGTTGCCCTGGATACATCCTTCTTTACCGCTGAGTTCTGCTTTGGCAGCTTGTCAAATGCTCCTCTTGTGGGGCCTATGCTACTGCTACTTCTGTATTCTCAGGAAGACACCAGTAGAAAACAGCATGAGAAATTTGGAAAAGAAAAGTCCCAGCAAGGTAAACAATGAAACATGATAAGGGTGAGAAAAAAATTGAATTTACCAAATATGAACGTGATTGTTTGAGCAATAATAATAGATATGCAGGATCATTATTATTGGCAGTAGGGTAGCATTTTTCTGAAATATGCAGCAAAGAAAAATAAAATAAGCCAAATTTACATCAAAAGGTAACTTAAATCCAGGCTGATTAAACTCTCCTTTAGTCCATCAGCTACTGATGATACACAGTTGTTATACATAGAGGAAGCTGTTCTGTTTGGCAAGGAATATGTGCGTATGTCTATCCATCCAGTTCTGAGATTTATACAGCTCAGCTCCACAGAAGAACCAGGTTGGTGTTCTGGCTCTTTCTGCATTTAAGCAATCTAGCATGGTCACCTCTCCACCCCCAGCCTGTGATTGGACAAGAAAGGAGCAGCAGCATCTTGATGAACTCATCCCTCTTCTCACTCTGCTGTCTATTCTTGTAAGAACCTTTGTATGCAGCCCACCTGATTATGCACCTCCTTTCCCAATATGAATTTTACTGTGCATGCAAATAGAAAAGGATGATACTAAGATAGAACTTACACTAGTTACATTTAGGATGGCGATTGTATCAATTCTATAATTACTATACAACTGCCTTCATTGCTGTATCTTTTTATCTGCTTGAAGCAGAACGAAACTGTTTAACTGTTTCCCAAAACAGTTTAGTTCAAGGCTTGTGTGTTCTGTTTCAAATGCTGATTTATACATTGACCAGGGGCGGACTGACAACTCATGGGGCCCCCGGGCAATAGGGGATCATGGGGCCCTGTGTCCTAGCCCAAACTCAAAAAAGCCTATGAAAAAGGTACCAGGGGCATCTCATGGGGCCCCCTACTGACCCCGGCCCTCGGGCAGTGCCCGAGTTTCCATATAGTCAGTCTGCGCCTGACATTGACATAGACTTAGACCCGATCTGTCCAGAAAGTATGGTCAACTGCTGATTTGGCACCATCCACAGGCAGCTTAACTCTTCAGTAAGGCACAGAAGTTGAATCAGACTCACTTTTCCTTCAGCTAATTGCAGTACAGAGGATGTTGTTTTTTTTCCAGTCTTTTGTATTGTATGAAGACAATGATCTGTCTCTTTGGGGGGGGGGGGGAGTCTAGCCAGGACTAAATTAATTAGCACTAAACAGGAAACGGAAAGGAAGGACTGAGGAAGTTACCTAGATTGTAAACTCGAAAGGGCAGGGCCCTCGAACCTCTCGTATATTGTCTTGTTACTGTATTGTCTCATGTACTGTCCCCCACTATATTGTACAGCGCTGAGCAAACTTTTTGGCGCTATATAAACACTGTATAATAATAATAATAATGATCACATTAGTAAATGAGTTGTAGTGGGCAGAAACTTCCACTATGTCAGCATATTACAAAAAACGTATAACCTAATGCAGCTCAATACAAGACTTAAAAATACATGACAGTGGGGCCAAACACTGTGTATGCTAAGGCCCCATGTACACGGGACACTTCTGAACGATGGAAACTGATTGCTGGAAAATGTAGGTTAAAAAATGTCTGTTTAGCCCCATTTGCATACCACGTTTAGGCACGTTTATGAGCGTTTGCGTTTAGAAGCGTTTTTTAAAGATAACCTCAGGAGACCTTCCAAAATGCCCATAATGCACTGGAAAACAGTAATAAATTAATTATTTCAGACATTTTGAGAGAAATAGAAAGAGCAGAAGCAGAGAGAGCAGTATTTGTTGAGATTAGCTGTCTTCAGGGGCGGACTGACCATTCGAGCACTCGGGCACTGCCCGAGGGCCCGGGGTCAGTAGGGGGCCCCATGAAATGCCCCTGGTACCTTTTATAGGCTTTTTTGGGTGTGCTTTGAGTGTGGGCAAGGACACAGGGACCCCATGATCCCCTATTGCCCGGGGGGCCCCACGAGTTGCCAGTCCACCCCTGGCTGTCTTTATTTTTTTTTTGTTGTGTTTGGATGTGTTCCAGCTCATTTCTATGCAGAAATTATTGCAGCAGTGTCTAACATATTTTTTTTTCATACAAAACCTCAAAGTATTGTGTGCCAGGTCCATTTGAGTACCGGGAAAACGCTTTGCATGCATTTTTCATGATGAAAAAAGGCTTTGGACAGCATCTGGAAATGGAAGAGTTCAAAAAATTTTCCAAACTCAAATGCTTATGAACATGGTTAGCTGTGTTTACAAGCATTTACAAGCATTTACAAGCATTTGGCATTTGAAACGCTGATAAAATCCACTCCTGAACTCAAGTTTGGTGCGTTAAAAAAAAAACCTGTAAATTCAACTGTCTGTAAACGACAATGTGTACATGGACACATAGGAAAACATTAGGGAGAGTTCAGAGGCTGCTGAAAAAAACGCAGAAAAGCTCCTGAACGTCAGTTTATCAGCTGCAGTGTACATGGAGCCTAACTGATAACAGTTGCTTTACTTGTCAAGCCATCCAACGGCTGGAGTCTTAGTTGACCACGTGCTGAAAAATGGCAACGGTAGAACAAGCAAAGGCTAAGACAGCTGTAAAGTATAGCAGGGCTTAGTTCCACCCTAAAGTTAATAAAAAGAGTCCAATGAAACATAACAGTGCTTTACAGTCTTGGAGTGGACAGTAATGGCATTGTATTATACTATAGTGCAAGCAGCAGCAGTAAGATACTGGGGATCTAGAGCAGGGGACTCCAAACTTTTCAAACAAAGGACCAGTTTACTGTCCTTCAGAGTTTAGGAGAGCCAGATTGTGGCCAGTGGGGGTAAAAACGCCCTGGGCCCAGAATTAATGAACATAAACATGGCCTCAGAGTTGGTGGTCAGTAGGAGGCAGAGTAGTTCCCCATCGTTGGTATCAGTGGGAGGAATAGTGCCCCAATGTTTGTATCAGTAGGAGGAATAGTGCCCCAAGGCCAGATAAAGACTAGCAAAGGGCTGCATCTGTCCCTTGGGCCACAGTTTGGAGACGCAGTGATCTAGAGGAAGCACAGAGAAGGGCAAGCAAACTAAGAGGCATGGAGAAACTCAACTATGAGAAAAGTCTGGCTGAATTGAATTTATTCTCTTTCGAGAAGAGGAGATTAAAGGGGGATATGATCAACATGTATAAATACATAAGTGGTCCATATAGTGAACTCGGTGTAGTTATTCACTTTCAGGTCATCACAGAGGACAAGGGGGCACTCTTTACGTCTGGAGGAAAAGAGATTCAATCTCCAATTATGGAAAGGCTTCTTCACAATAAGTGCTGTGAAAATGCAGAATGGATTCCCTCAGTAGCTGGTTCTGGCCAGCTCAATAGTTTTTTTTTTTTTAAATAGCTGGATGCATTTCTAAATGCACAAAATATAACTGGATACTAACATCTATAGGTAATAAAACCAGAGATTATTGATCCACAGAATATCTGATTATCTCCTAAGGGATCAGGAATAAATGTATTTTCTCTGCTGGAGCAAACTGCATTTTTTGCCTTCCTCTGGATCAACTGTGGGTAAAGGATTGTGTATTTGAAGGTTTTCTATTTAATTTAATTTTCTCTTTGATTGAACTAGATGGACTTGTGTCTTGTCAATCATTTTTATCAATCAGCTGTTGCAGCCAATCAGTTGCTGATCGGTGTATGGTAACAGTACCGCTGTCTAAATACAATATGCCTGCGGGGGGAGAGGGGGGGGCGAGGTGGATGGAGGAAGCTGTTAGTTTTTTTTAGCTGATGAGGTGTCCTCAGATGTCTCTTGTGATCAATGTTGCTTGTGCAAATTCTTTAAGTGGTTGTAAAGGACCAAGGTTTTTTACTATCATGCATGCTATGCATGAAGGTAAAAGCAGCCCCCCATAATACTTACTTGAGCCCCATCTCAATCCAGTGATGTGCACAAGAGCAGAGGCTCTCCGGGGTCTCTCCCTCTTCATTGGCTGAACAAGCAGCAGGAATCATTGGTTCTCATAACTGTCAATGGCAGCCAATGAGGAGAGAGTGGGGAGTGAGACCTAGCCTGAATGGACAGAAAGATCAGTAGCTCTTCTCTTCTCTTCCAAAAGCAGCAGAGGGTGGTGAATTTCCTTATCACTTTAAAGATTAAGGAAATGGTTTCAATTGCCTGCAAAAGGTTGACAACATGATCTCAGCCTAGGCAAAGCTCAAGGACAGTTTTTAACAAAATGTAGAGCTTTAAAAATAAAAAAGGTACTGTTTATGTATAATGTAATATTAAAAACTGAAGATGTTTTTGATGGCCACTTGATGGTCTGTATGTGCCACTGTTATAAATTAGTGATCTTAAATGTTTTGTTTGATGTAGATCTTTGGTTTATTTTGATTTTGGATTTTTGTTTTGCTTTTCTTTTGTTATGAACCCAGCCTTATGTGACTGTCTGTTGATGTCTTTTGTGTCCATCCAGGTCCGCCTTGGGGGCGAATGTGAGGTAAATGCATCCATATAAACTGTCACTTTAAGATTCTGTTTTTTTGTAAGTGTAAATGGGCCAATATATCCTAATGGTATTATTTTTTTTATGTATTGTTTCTGTCATTCATTTTTGTTTTCTTTGTAGAATTCATCCACTTCATCAACCCCCTGAAGAAGATTGATAAAGTTGAAACATTATCTACAAGCAGGGGTTGTTACCCCCCCCCCCCCCACCCCCCGAATGTAGATTGATAATCTTGATGATTGTTATGTGTTTTTTTCACAATGAATGGTACTGTGACCTTTGGTCTGTTTTAACTCAATTTGTACACAAAAAAAATTTATTTATTTTATTACATTGTATCAATACATTTGTGGTGCCTACAAACTCCCATCCATTTTTTACCTTTTTTTTGCATATTATTGAGGGATGTGGCCCCCAAAACAGGAGGGGCATGGACTGACTATATTTTTTCTGTATAATGTAACATGTCAGAATTTTTTAAGCTGAGTTACATTTTAATTTTGTTTTACGCTATTGAAGGATCCTCTTTAATCTATAGGTGTTGAAATTTCACTTTAAGTAAGACATTTATATTGAAAATAATCTCATTTTCCAAGAAAATATCTGGAATTTATGAGTGGAATGAAACATGGCTGACTTCAAAGTAAATTTTCTCTGTGCTTTCGATACATTAAAAAACATACAGTTTCTTTGATTCTAGAAAATGGTCTGGATTACTCGCAGCGTACACTTGTTCAAACATACTGCAGCCTATATTGATTAAATTGAGAGGTAATGGAATTAAAAGTTAATGAAATGCCTTCACTCATGCAAGCTGTCAGCTTATCAAATTCCAGCTCACAATTTGTACTTTAATAAGCAGCAGAAGATTAGGCTCACATCAAAGGTACGAGGTGGTCTTTTAGAATGTTGACTGGCTAATACAAATGTGTGAAAATGAGCCCCTTCTTTTAAGTCAATAAGGAAACACTTCTACACTGCTTTGGGGATTCCGATACTGACTGCTCATATATATATATTTATTCAATTGCTGGAAAGGGCATCTTGCAGCAATGATATACATAAATGTAGTAATGTAAGTAATTACATGTAGTGTATTCTGAGTAGTTCTCAGGAGATCAGCAGTGTTGACAACTCTCTGAGCTGTAATCACTTTTAGGCAGAATCTCAGCATTAGAAGGTTTTTTTTATCGTGGACTTCAGTATTAAATTGCATGTAAGTGCCAAAAATTATCGGCAGGACTCCACGATGTTCCAGTCTTTTCACCATTTGCCAGATGTTATCTCACTCAGGCACCAATTCATCCTATTGGCTTACACGTCACCTGAGCCTTACACGCTACCCTTAACTATCCATATACCTATTTGATCCGGAGATTTTACCAGCGGCTATGGCCATAACGGGCAAATGGCGAAAAGACTGGATCATCGTGGAGTCCTGCCGATGTAGCCGACAAATATACATAACTCAGAAGGCTGGGTGAGCTGAGGTCTATGACCCTTACATATTGGTGGAGCAGGGCCCTCCTAACCCTCTTGTAGTGAACTGTATTATTACTGTATTGTCTCCCGTTATATTGTAAAGCGCTGAGCAAACTGTTGGCGCTATATAAATCCTGTATAATAATAATAATAATATTGGGGCTTTAGAGCCCTACTGTGCCCTATATTATATGATAATTGAGGCTGTTCGAATTTGGTTGATATCTGTGGGACATTGTATTGCCTTTATACCACTCTGTACCTGGACTGTGGTTCATTGCAGTGGACTATTTAATTACCAACTGGATTATCACGGGCCACCCTATATGCATTTAGGAGATAATCAGGACTACAGCTGTCCCCAGTGTGCATTGTGAGTGACATGCTGTGTATGATACCTTTTTATAGTGACATACATCTGGAGGGTGCATCATAGTAGGAGGTGTGTATATATATATATATATATATATATGTATATATACAAAAGCTACCCACTACTTAACCATTTACTTTCCCAGGCCTCTGTTAGTAATGTTATTAATAACTTTAGTAGGGTATCTTACATCATTGTCCATGCTTGAATGTGGGCTGAGTGGGCAGCTGCTTGGGCAACGAGACAACATTGTCTTTTTGAACTTAGTGTGGTGGTGGATAGTGGTTTTAGCTCATATTTTGTATATATTATATTTTAAACTATATTTTCAATAAAGCCATTCTTTATTAAGCTGCATGGTCCCTTTAGAAACCCCCTTTGGGGTAATTTACCCTTGATTGCTTCAACTCTAAATTGATGACCCATAAGAGCATTTAAAGCATTACCTGTTGATAATTTTGCAATTTGTTGCCAATTTTCATCAAGGTTGTTATCTGCAAGACAGCAGCTCAAACAGTTGTAGAGTATGTGTTCTTTGAAGTAAATGGAAGCAAGGAGATGAGTCTAAAGTTGTTCAGACTGGAGGGCTTCAGAATGGCATTTTTATGTATGACATTGACCAGTGCAAGTTTTAGAGGGGAGGGCAAAATGCCAGCTGAGAGGGATAAAAAGAATATGTGATTTTATAGAGCATAGACAGAGCAAGAGGGTGACTGGAGTAATTGTGAGGGAATGTGGTCCAGGGGATAGGTGGTTAGGTGGCCATCATAGAAAAGTTTATCAACTTTCTTTGTAGTAACAGGGTCAAAAGGGGAAAGTATTGATTGTGGTAATAGACTTGTGTAGCACTACCCCTTTCAGAGCCTCTGAATATTTTTGGGTTCCCTGTCTGTTCCGAGCCTGAATTGTAAGCACAGCCCCTGCTGACACCACCGTAAAACTTTGACCAGGAGAATCCCTTGGACATGGAACACAAAGTAATCACACAGTGTAAGGTTAAAAAATATTTTGATTGTATTGAGATCCAAGTAAAAGAAATAGTACAAGCACAAAA